CATCCATCCATCCATCCATCCATCCATCCATCCATCCATCCATCCATGCAAAGCCTCAAAAGCTTCCCCCAATGGGAGGGCCATGCGGAGACCATGCGGCGGCCATGCGGAGACCCTGTAGAGTTCATCGCTGGGACGCCGTCCCGAGACGCGCGGTGCTATGAAGAAGCAAGGTCCCGACACGCACCATCAGGGCTGCTTAATAAGCACGCCAGGCTTTGTGAGGAATGGAACTGGATGAAGTGAGACAAACAGAGAGTTTATTGGATATTTTGATGCAAGGAGAGATGTCCAACGTTGTGCAAGGATTGCAAAATGTAGAGAAAGATGGACAAAGGTGAATTGCAAATCACCGCACTACGCTTCACTGCATCACAGGACGGATCACCTCACCACAATATATCCATCATGAATATGTCACTTCACCTCGTCACATCATGCGACAAGCGACAGTATGTCAGAGCAATGAATGTATGAAGACAGATCAGCCCGTCACAGTAAACTTCCGCCTCCCACCCACCCTGCTGCCACCCCGGGGGCAGCAGTTCTCAAGGGGGGCCCTTTTAACCATCCCACGCACAGCATTAGGACCCAGGTGCAGTTGCGTTGCGCAGGGTTTCATGGCTTGTACCAATCAATGATGAGACAGAAAGGGTTCCAAACTTGTGATAGTGGACCTGATTATATATGTAGATGCAGAATGAGTAAATTTTGACCAAAGTTGATGTTTTTTGCACGGCACTGCCGCAATATGATTTGCGTATCACCACTATACCAACCCAAAGGCCTCGATGATGAGAAAAAAAAAGGAGTCCTTTGCCTGCGCCTTATTTGCGCCTTGTGATGCTGAGAACTGAGGATGTAGGTGAACGAGGTGAAGTAGTTCATCCATGTTCATCAAAAATGTCGCTTGGACTTAGACATGAATTGGGATTTCCGTTGTCCCATCCCTGAGTCTCGAACACTTCATGTTTTGATATGCTTCTCGGAACCGCTTTGCCTCAGAATGAGCCGCTTTGCCTGAGTGATGACTGCCTTTTTGCCCCAGCAGTGAACCATCACAACCTACGTGGGAACTCTCTTTCCAGAGTCCTGGTTTGCCCATCTCACCCCTGGGTCGTGGCCCAGCTCTCGGACGGATGCGGAAGCGAATTGATCTCCAACGCATGGGGTTTCAACAATGAAGACAGCAGTTGCAGGTGCTTGGTGACATGTGAATCATGTGAGTCTTATTGTGTTTATGGCGATGCCAGGGTGGTGTTTTTGGTTTTCAGCATCCTCAGCCTGAGACTGTTGAACACGTGGCACGGTTTGTTTTAAGGCGTTCTACGGGGTATCATACATGTGGATATCGGGTGTGCCAGTGCCAATGAGCCAATGTCCTCCAACATCATGCACTGATAGCATAATTGAGACACCGTGAAAGAAGCCTGTGGGGGTTTTGCCCAGTACCAGAAACAGTCAGTAAAAGATTATCACTATTCTAGAGAAAGCCTTTCCTAACCATCATCATCCACTATTACTGGTGATGGGATATGCCCTTCAATGCATTCTGGTGTTCCTTTCAAGTATGCCGAGTCGAGTGTTTGGAAAGCGGTATATACAGGTTGTAAATGGCTGAACTGTTGGAATGCGAGAGCAAGTCGTTACGCCTTTGCCGCCTTCAAATTGTAAGCTTATGGTGCGCACCTTTGCCTGCTTGCGCTCCTTCCCCGCCAGCTTTTTGGTCTCACTTGAAGTTTTGTGTAGGCAAAAGAGGCAGAGCAGATGGGTTGACATGCAGATGTAGACAGATTGGGTGGGTTGACATGCACCTCTTGCGTTGGACATGTGCAAAATTTCGTCAGCATGATGTGCGGGATCAAAACATTGGCACTGGAACAGTAGCTGGAGTGTAGGCCAAGCAGCCCCAACACTACGCAAACCAGTTTCCCTCAAGTTGCAATGCCAACTCGTCTCCACCAACAGTGCACAACACATGGTGGCAGACATGGAATATACCGAAAGCTTTGTGGGTGGTGAGTGGCTGAGCCTTAGCAAGGAAGATTTCAAGTCATGTCAAGTCCCTTTCATCGGGTCATCCTGATGTTGATGTCCATGCTGCAAACGGGATTATCATGCCGTGTGTGGTTTCCAGATGCCGCCGGTTCCCAAGAGATTGGATTGGAACTTGGCGAATCAAAAACGGAATGGTCGAAAGAGTTGGCAAAGCCCAAGCTGCCAGGTCTTAACAGCGGGCGAAAAGCTGAGGGAAGCTTTAGAAGGGCGCAATGCTGCCAACATAGATCACCTGCGGAGGACGGGCCAAATGTTCAAAACCTGCATGCAGACGATGCAGATGCACCTAGCTAGCCTAGCTAGCCTAGGACCTGTAGGAAAAACAGCCACGAAAGGCCACCACTATGCTTGCGCAGCTTGCGCCAGGACGCACCCGACCGCCAAATTCACCGTGAAAGGGCAACCTTCAACGGATCCAGCTCCATGGCGGCGACTTCATGTGGTCATTACATGCCCAGATCCCAGAGCTTTTTGCATTTTGCATGGTGCAAATGATTGCGTTTTTGGCCTTTTTAAAAAATACAAAATTCCGTGATCTTTGTGAATTTGCAGGATGCTTTTTGGTTGAGACATCGTTTCTCGCTTCTTGGAGGCTCTGATTCCAAGCTCCTAGCAAAGGTGGGGGCATGCTTTCACCTTTCCATGGCAAGACGTCCAGAGAAAAACACTTATTGTAGATAGATTTAGATTGCATAGTTGGCCTAGGCCAGGCCAATGATTTTTCTCAGAGTCCTAGGCTGAAGCTGATGTCCTCGATCTTTGCGAGACCGCATGCGATGTAGCAGCGGATTTCTTAGGGCTCTCAGACGATCAGGTTGGGTTGGTCGATGCGTCAGGGGCGAATAAATGAAATCAATTTACTAGTAGCAACTATATAGCTACTAGTAGCCAAGGGCATCGCTACTAGGAGCAAGGACGCTACTAGGGGCTCCTGGCATTACTACTAGGAGCAAAGAACGCTACTAGTAGTGTCCTTGCTACTAGTAGCGATGCCCGGGTTCCTAGTAGCGATGCCAGGAGCTACTAGTAGTGCAATTATTATGCTTCAGATTCATATCCGGAGTTGCCAGGTGCAAGATGCTTTCGAAGGAATAAGGGTGGAAAGGCAGGAAGTACCATTAAGGACTGGACCGTCTTTGAACACTTGTTGCAGTGCATTGTCGCCCGACAACGTCAAGGATGGTTTTTGCTGTGTGCTGTTCCTTTGAAGTGGTGCATTTCGCTGCTCCTCCTCCTGCAGCAGCAGCAGTTGCAGCAGCAGCAGCATCTCACTCCTTGCCTGATGGTGTCACGCGACATTGAGATTAAGATAAGCTAGGAGAGCTGCGCAAAGCTGGGCTCATGTTTCAATCGCAGGATGGAAGATCCTCCTGCAGAAATACAACCAGACCTGAACCTTTTGTGGCACAGCGGCTCACTAGATCCTAGTCAGGCGGCGGTTGTGCTTAGAATTGTCAAGTAGAGACATCAAGAAAGAGAGAGGAATGGTCGGGAATGAGCCTTTGGAAACAGATGCCTCCATGAACAAGGTCGTTTGTGCGGAGGCATGTGTTTGACATGTGTTGACACATTGGGAGCAGGCGCAGCCACATGATAGTGGCGATGCTGCTGTCTCCAGTTCAGTTGGCATACATGAGGTGCCCTCGGGGAGTTTTTTGGTGGACAGAACCAACGAAAACATGTGAGCGGCCACAAGGACCTAAACATTGCCAAAGATTGACACCTTTTCAGGTAAGGACTCTACTAGGGGCTCCTGGCCTTACTTGACCCTGCAAGGCCGGCATGGGTACAACTCCAAAGTCGACCGCTCCAAAATCGCGAGAGAGCACGGCTAGTGTTCCAGTTAGCTCGAGCACTGCCCGTAACAGCCCAAGTCACGTTCCTGTGCTTTCTAGAGGCCAGTGCTAGTAGATTGGAGGCTATCGCTCTTAGGATGGAGAGCCATTGCCATTTTACTCAAATTTTTGGCTGTTGCCGTTGCTGAGGCAAAGCTGGGGTGCCAGCCGCCTTTGCTACTCGCGTGCCCAAGGCGGTTGAACCTGTGAATTTGCACCCGACACTGGGCTCACGATTCAGGTGATTACTCCAAACAGTTGTGTCTTTTTCATCCTATGAATTGAGTTCCTTTGTTCTGAAGTGAGGCCAAAGATGCAGGCTCCAGGGATTGGATCAACACATCCCATTTTACCAGTCCCGCCCATGTTGCCGATGATGCCGCCTCCTTTGCCATCAATGCCGTCGACGCCCATGACGCCGGGGATGGCCCACTTACCCGCCTTAGCGATGCAGCCAGCGATGCCAACGAATGCTCCCGTTGGAGCTTTTCCAGCACCTCTCACAGCTCCAACAGCTCCAACAGCTCCAAGAGCTCCACCTCCACCGGCTCCACCGGCTCCAGCAGCTCCAGCTGTAGCATTTTCGGGTGCCCTGCCACGACCGAAGCATGGTGGACATACTCTTGATGCTCACTTAGAGGCCAGGGTCCACCAATATTTGGCCTACGGGCTGGGTTGGCTGTAGCATATTGTGCTCAGGTGGCCAGGCTGGCGCAGGCTTGGCTTGATCGAGGTTCTCGGGCTGAGAAGGACAAATCTGATAAGCGCAGAATAAAGCGGAACAAGGCAGCAGCTTGGCATTGAAGCATGCTTCTTGGACGACATCGCCAGCTGTCGTGCAAACTGGTGCCAAGGAAATTGACCCTTACCTTCCTCCAAGAGAGCCTGTGCGAGCCTGGGGAACACACAAAATGCAAGCAGAACATCATGTATGTAATTAATTGCTACCAGGAGCAAGGACGCTTCTAGGGGCTCCTGGCCTTACTACTAGTAGCAAGAAGCTACTAGGAGCAAAGGGCATCGCTACTAGGAGCGATCGGACGCTTTAGTTGAGTGCATCGGGCAACTTTCAGGCACAAGAGGATGATCCATATTCGGTGATGCTTGCAGAGGCGGCTCCGATTTTCCTTGCGACATTTTGTTACTAGTAGTAAGGATGCTTCTAGTAGTACGGCCAGGAGCCCCTAGTAGCGTCCTTGCTCCTAGTAGTGATGCCAGGAGCCCCTAGTAGCTTCTTGTTCCTAGTTCAATAATGTGTTTTTTTTTTTTTTTTTCAAATTCTATTCAACCATGCAATGCATTCTCTACTCTTCCTTCATGTTTTGACCAGGCAGAAGCTGAAGATGCTGCAGAGCTTCCGGAGCCTCCCTTCAAATTGGGGTGTGGCATGGAGGTAAACATCCAAAACAAGAAAACCAAGAGAAAAACCTACCTAGCGACGGCGATGGCCTCCAACCTGATTAAATGTTAAGTGCCGCTCTGCATTCAGCGTTCTACCTTCACTGCCTTCAGATGGTTCACCAAGTCTGACAAAAGCTTCTCCTATACTTTCCCCGAGGCCCATGACAAATTCTCACAATATATACGTGTTTGGTCGATTCAAACCAAAGTGTGTCCAAAGGTCCTACCGGTGTATAGCCTTTGTGGTGTGCTAATGCGAGAAGTAGCATGGCTTTGGAGAAGTGTCTCAGGAGATGCCACCTCCGACAAGCATTTCTGCTCACAAGCGGAAAGCTTCTCAAACGGATGCGCTCTCGCTTTCACCGCCAGGCTAAGTCTTAGACCTGCCCGCAAAATTGCTCGAACATTCATGTTTGCGCAGTTTGGGGGCCAATAGCAGCTCAATGGCAGGCCGTCCAGCTAAAGTTGCCGTGATTGAGGCTGAAGCAAAGGCGAGGATAAAAAGCACAGTTGCCGTGATCTACTTTTTTTTCTCAATGCCGCATTAGAAACTAGTAGTAACAGGTGCATCGCTACTAGTAACAAGTGCCTTACTAGCAGTAACAAGAAGCTATTAGAAACAAGTGCCTTACTAATAGTAACAATAAGAATTGATTTAAAATTGTAATTAGTAGCTTCTGGTTACTACCAGTAAGGCACTTGTTACTACTGGCGAGGCACTTGTTCCTACTAGCAAAGGAATCTACGAGGATCACAATCCACAATAAGCTATTAGCTTATTGTTTCTAATAGCTTTTTTGTTACTACTAGTAAGGCACCTGTTACTACTAGCGTGGCACTTGTTACTACTAGCAAAGGAATCCACAATGATGTTGCAAGTTTGGAAGGCCGAGACGGTGAAGTTGGGCACTTGGAGCACTTCGAGCGATAAGTGTCAAGACGCACATTGAAACCTTGAAAGGAGGAAGGGAGAGAGGAAACCAAGCAAATCAACACATCCAAGTAGAATTCTTAGTAACAAGTGCCACGCTAGTAGTACCAGGTGCCTTACTAGTAGTAACAAAAAGCTATTAGAATAAACATAATTCTTTCTTGGTTTCTTTTGACGAGGCGCCGCGCCCTCCCCCCAACCCCCTCCCACCCACTCCGACGACCTTTCAAGCGAAAACCAAACCATCCCAGCCGAACAAACCAAACATGCCAGCTAATTCGCCCCTACCCACCAAGCTCGAAGGGCTCACCTCGCCGGGTTGGAGGCCATCACTAGTAGGTTGGCTAAGCCGCTGCGTGTGCATTGTTCTGCTAAGGAGTACTCGCTCTCGCTTGCGCAGAGAAAACGGTAAACAAGAACAGTTGATGTTTGCCGTGTTTACGATTCGTGTGGTTTAAAAAATGGGGCGACACCCAGCGAAAAACGGTAAACTTGATCTTTATCATTTTTACCGCGCGGGTGCCGTCGCTACGAGGTTGGAGGTCATCGCTACTAGGGTGGAGGCCATTGCTAGGAGGGTGGAGGCCATTGCTACTAGTTTGGAGGCCATACCGATTAGATGATTGAGAGGAGAGAGAAGAAGGGATGGAGAAGGCAACAACTGAGGATTGACACAGGAAAGAAAGATGTAGCAATCAGAGGTACCGCTGGCATCTCCAAAAGAAAACATGTTGAAGCGCATTGGGGTTCCATCAGCTTTCAGGCGTAGGTCAGGCTTTTACTCCGTTTGCTTCCTGTCCGCCCGGTGAATGTTCATAACCTGGTGGCCATCCAAAAACGTTCAAGACATGGCTTTCATGGCTTTCACGCATCGAGTTTTAAACTGGCAGTGGATGGGCGCGGCCAGTTCAGATTTCCAGGTCTGACTCATCAGAAGCTTCAGACTCTGAAGAGGAGGAATCTGAAGAGGAGGACCACAAAGCTCAGGTGATTTGTTGATAGAATTGGGAACAAGAAGTTACTAGGGGCTCCTGGCATCGCTACGAACGGAACAAGAATGCTACGAACGGGGAACTCATGAACCGTTCGCAGGACGCGGAAGATGACGACATCGAGGACCGTCCGCGAGGGTCGGTGTGGAGCGCAACGCACGCTGGAAGTTCCTGCGGGCGGCCGAAACCGTGTGGCAGGAAGTTCCTGCTGAGGCGAGTGCCGATCCGCTGAAGTGAGTCGGGTGGTTTTGAGCTGTTTTGAGTTTTTATTTTTTAATGTACTACTCAATAGTAGACATATCATGACATATTTAGTTGAATTACAACTATATAATTAGTGAATTAGTGAGGTGGCATCTTGATCCAGACAGTTACAACCCACAACCTTAGAGCAGAAAGGGCTTCAGAAGTTCAACGAGCATCGACTCTGGACACATTTTGGAGAAGTGGAGGGGACATGCACGACGATTTGGCAAGGTTGGAGATGGGGAAGCTGCCAGGCTGGAACTCTTCAAGCAACCTGGCAGACATGATTTCTGCAGGAGCGCGCGGACACACACACACACACACAAGCGTTGCGCTTGAGTGATCGTGAAAAGTCGAGTAGTGCAGTTTGAGCACCATGCACGATGCTGAGCAGCTTCGAGGCTCTAAGGGTTTCATGTTACGAAAGAAGCACCGCAATGAGCGGGACGAAGCGAAATGAGAGTTTTTAAGCCTGCCGAGCAGCCTAGCAATAAGGTCTCTTGGGGACAGGGCTTATGAGCGTTTATGATTCAGACTGGTATTCCAGTTTGCTTTGCGTAAAGCATAGAAGGTAAAAGGACTAGTTGCTTTCAATGTGTCAGTGGAGTCTGTAGTGCATTCGCCTCCCGCATTTGTCACATGTGGCCTGCTCATAGGGAGAAACGGCTCCAGGCGCTAAATAAACAGCTAAGTAAACAAGTAGCAAAAAAAGCACACACACTTGTATAAATGATTTCATGTTCCACCCATTAACAATGTCACTTGGGCAAACATATTGGAGTCAAGCTGTCGAGCCTGTGGCTGCCGCCCAAGGCTGGGTGCCAAATGCTGTAGCGTGGTTGCTCACTTTGTGGGTGGTCAAAAAGCTTCGCTTCCTGAGAACCGAAGGTGAAGATCTGAGAAACATTGTGGACATCAAAGAAAGAAACACTATATATATATATATGTATTTGTATACACAGCCAGGTTGGAGGCCATCGCTAGTAGGTTCGAGGCCATCGCCCTTAGGTTGGAGGCCATCGCTCTTGTGTTCGCACCATGTCCCACCTGTAAGGTGCAAGCGTTTGTAAGATAGCAATATCCAATTCCTCCACCAGCTTCGGCTAGCCCAGGTTGGATATCGACCAACGTGTTCGCTTGGAGCACTGCCTTGCGCCCAGTTTATGCCCAGCTTTCCGTTGCCTAAGCAGTTGGTGATGGGCTTGTAGCAGCCCCGTTAAGTACAGCTTCTTATTACCGCGGGTGAGTAGCAAGAAGGCGTGTTTGCTTGCTGTTGGCTTCATGGCGACACCCCTGTCAACTGTTTGTGGGTTCATCAGCTGGTATATGGCCGGATGTTTTTGTATAATTCAACTCTATCAATACCCAATAGAGTAATGACTGATATCGACGCAATATCGGTATTTCACAAAACTCTGACAGGCTGCTACCAGTGCCATTGTGGGAGCCAATAAGCACGCAGAACTTTGCACCTCAATTGTATGTTCTCCAGCGCCGCCATCAGACGAAGTTCACAATCCAAGTTCTCCAAACCCATATGAGTTCTTAAATGCAGCCTATCAATGACGGCACGGTCCAAGGCCCAGCTGGAGATCTCAATTCCATTTCACCCCTAATAGCAATGGCCTCCAACCTAATAGGAATGGCCTTGAACTTAGAAGCGATGGCCTCCAACCTCATAGCGATGGCCTCCAACCTAGTAGCTTCTTGTTACTAGGAGCAATGCCAAGAGCTACTAGTAGCTTCTTGTTACTAGTAGCGATGGCCTCCAACCTGATAGCGATCGCCTCCAACCTAGCTTCTTGTTCCTAGGAGTAATGCCAGGAGCTACTAGTAGCTTCTTGTTACTAGTAGCGATGGCCTCCAACCTAAGTATTCCAGTCTCCGCACCTGGTGGAATGCGAATAAGACAGGTCACCTATGACTATGGGAAGATTTCCAACCATGACAACAATAGGAAGTGGCTCCTGATGGACCTCACATTGGGATACCAAACCGCTGATGCAAAAAGCCGATGGTCTCATACTGTATGGATGATTGATGGCTACTCCTTTTGCGATCCGCTTGTCCGGAGAGAGCAAAAAACATCCATTGCCCTGCATTCAGATATTCAGCTTCACCAAGATGCAACTGCCGCACAGCAGCCTTTCCCAGAAAAGCTTTCCATGCCAATGCGCGACACCATTCAGAATTCTTCCTCATGAAGCTTGCACATATCCAAGATGCCACGGGCTTCCCAACTATACACCAAAACCAAACGAGCCGCTTGGACTGTTGTCCAATTGGTGCGGAACTGAATCTTGTCAGCCGAGCGTGGGCAAATTTACAGGCATGTCATTTAGCAGGCATAGAAACTATCGCGGCAATCTTATTTATGGTGCATTCAGCAGGCACACAGTTGGGATATAAAGTTTAAACAGTCGCGGATTCATAGTCAATTTGGTCCCCTGTATTTGGAAGCATTGCTCAATGCATAAAATGCAGGCTTAGTCAACCCGCTCATTTGGTATTGGTACACTACACGTACCTATGAGGTAACTAGCCTTTGGAATTGGGCAGATGCTGTCTCACACGAAGACCCGAGAAACATCAACCACTTTGCGAATGCAGCAACTGACTTGACGAAACATTGTCTCTGACCGTTCCACACAGTAGTCGCAAACGTGGAAAAAGACGTCGGCACAGAATATGAAGACACTTTGTCTATTTACTTACAGCTTTTCCCACCCCAAAATAGCATATTACTGCTAAGCGCAAACAAGAACAGGCGCTGAACGAGCAACTCAGGAGCTGGAATCCCTTGCAGGCAGTGCCCATGTCTGATGACCCTCATGTTTTCAAGGTGTGTATTACGGGCAGGACACTTGTGGTAGCACTGTCGCAAGATATTTAGACATAGAATCACAAAGAATCACATATAGAACAATAGATATATGCAACAACGCAAATGGCTGCCTGCACCCAGAATGTAGAAACATCCAGCGCTGAGCAATTTTGGTCACAACTACTGCCCCCTCCCCATGGATGTGCAGATGTTGAGGCTCTTTCCATCCAGGCCGATGAGTTTGGTCGGAATTTAGCTTGTGTCAAGGACATGACCAACAAAGAAGTAAAAGAATCCTTTTCATATTAAAGGGCCCATACCATCTTTTTCATCTTGTTTCCGGGTCCCATAAAAGCACTTCGGCAACAGGCAGACATTTCGACTGCATTCTGCACTTACACATGTGGATTTATGCCAGATCTTTTGTCCTAGCCCGGTCGTGGCTGGTTCAACCTGCTTCGTTAATTCATGTTGTTTGTTGGAGTCTTAGGGAACTTGCTTACATCTTGATAGGACCAAACCTTTCTGTCCATCAACATCCACTCCCTTTGTACCTGCTGTTGGGAAGCGTTCGTGCCCACGCCCGCAAGTCATGGAACCCACAGAAACCAAATACGTGAAATGTAAACGCTACCGCTACTGACTCCGCTTCTCGGAGGGGGCGAACGTAGCAAGAAGCTACGAACGTAGCTCCCGGCATTACGACTGGGAACAAGAAGCTCCTAGTAACAAGGGCATTTCCACTAGTAGCAAGAAGCTACTAGTTCGCATCTTCATATCAATTGCTTTGTCATCCAGTGCCGTCCTTCACGATTTTGTCAGTTCCATGCAATCATTGGCGACTGAAGCAGAGCCTAGACCAGCCGTGCCCTACCCCTGGTAGCGAAGGTGTCATGCAATCACCTTGCTAGTAATTACAATTCTAATTGAATTCTTATTGTTACTAGTAGTAAGGCACTTGTTCCTAGTAGCGTGGCACCTGTTACTACTAGTAAGGCACTTGTTACTACTAGCGAGGCACTTGTTACCTGGAAGGGGTGTGGTAGTCCAGATCCTCGGACATCCAGTTTCAAACTGATCCGTGCGGTGTGAAAGCAAGAACTAGTAGTAACAAGTGCATCGCTACTAGTAACAAGTGCCTTACTAGTAGTAACAAGAAGCTACTAGGAACAAGTGGTGAAAGCAACAACTGGACAATTGGAGTCAATCACTTTGTGGGCTAGCTAGCTGCCAGCTTCCAGACAACCGCTAGCCCCCGTGCTGCACCTTTGCCAAGCAACTCCCAAGTCTCACACTCCCGGCGATACACACATCAATAGCAAGAACAAGAGGACACTATTAACTTTACAAAGAGTTGGTTGTTCCGTGTATTACGGCTCAGGCCGGAAGCATTTGCAGTGGGCGGGCGACCTTGCTACGGTGCTTCCATCACATGTGTTTGTTGTACAAGATGGCCGCCAGTTCCATTGCTTGAGTTGGAACAGACAGCTGGCTGGCTCTCTTCACACTGGAAGCATGCATAATGCAGTGTCTCTTTTAAGACCCCAAGCCTCACTTCGCAGTTTGTCTCCAATGACGTCTTGTTAAAACCCTGCCAGGTATGGCACTTGGCTTTGTCCGATCTGCGGGAGAAGGCAATGGCGGATGAACTAGCAAATTGTAAAGATGCTGCATATTAGTGAAGGCCATCTTTAGCAGGTTGGAGGCCATAGTAGGTTGGAGGCCATGCCATAGTAGGTTGAAGGCCATCGCTCTTAGGTTAGAGGCCCCCATTGCTATTAGGTTGGAGGCCATTGCTATTGTTGCATGACCGATAGGTTGCCTGGACAACGTTATGTACATACTTTGTCTCCCGCAAGCGTGTGGGATTAGCAGAGCTAAAGGGAGGCGTTGTCCGCATCTCAGAATGCTTGAAGCTCGCATCCGGGTATTGAAAGTGCAAACCTATCGATTGGAAGGTGTACATCGTACCTCCAGATGATACCTTTCTGTCAGAGCTGGGTCTTCCTGCTGCTGCGGAAACCTTGGCTGGAAGCTTGCTGGGGTTGCAGGCGGGTCGCTGAGGACACTTTCCGAGTCTCGCATTTCGTCCTCAACTTCTCCCCAACTATTGATTCTTTCCTGCTTAATTGGCACTCAATCGAAAACGAGGAGTGGGAGGAGGGAGGAGGAAGAGGAGCAGGACAAGCAGGAGGAGCAGGAGGAGTAGGACGAAGGAAGGACGAGAAGGAAAAGAACACTGAAACAGAATCTTGGGAGCATCCCCTAACATGGTTTAAAACAGGTGATCGCAAGAGCTACCAGCAACGACCGGGCAGCCATGTACATTCGACAACACATCTTGCCCATTAGCAAGCGTTCATGGCATCCACGGTTCGCACCCGCCACTCTTTCACCCCAGGTGTTTTGATCAGCTCGTTAGTTCTTGATTTTTGACAAGGTCAATGTTGAAGAAAGCATGTTTTCAAATGTTTTCAGGTGCGCACTAGTGAGTGGAGACCTAAGACTTCTTTATGTGTTTTTGATCCGCTGCGACTTGATAGGATATATTATATACATGCAAGAATAAGGCTTCCAACGGAGGAATCCTTGCAAGAGGAGGCGTGTTCCAACTGGTCGACCTTTGCAATCAGAGCCTGACTCTTCAATTTTGGTTACGCTGACATTTTTAATTTTTCATAGGAGTTCCTCCGCTCAGGTTGGCTTGAATGAGAAAGAGGTTGCCAAAGAAGCGTCGCAATTATCGACCTAAAGCCAAGGAACTTTCGCAAGAAAGCTGTGGCTGTGGGGGTGTGATGTGGGGTTGATGTGAGTCTTGGAGCCACACGAGTCTTTCCAGGGCAGCTAGGGCTTGGGTTGACCACGTTCGACGCTGATCGTATTTTAAGACTCGAGTCCGGGCGCACGAGCATTTGCGTGACCCCGCCATGGCACGGTCAGTCCAAGCCGCGTTGATTGTCGCCGTTGGTTTGATTTGGACGAAGTGCTTGCCGTCCTTCTGTGGCATTCAGGGAGTGCAACCCCGTGAGAGCTTGATTGCTTGCAAGGGTTGGCGCCTGGATAAGATGGAGGTGGGCCCTGGTGGGATTGGACAACTTGTGGTTGCAGAGGGCTTCTTCATCGGCGAGAAGGACATGTTCAAAGTCTTGAATAAACAAGGCAGGCGCTATCGGCTGCGTCCTTCTGCAGAGGACCGCAAGGCCGGCAAAAACGTGCCAGGAATCTTCCAGCTTGGTCCATTCAAGCTTCATTTGGAGCAATGTTTTCGGGGTTCGGGTGGCGATGTGGATGCACCTCGTCCAGAAGGCTATTCTGGCAATGGAGGCATGGCAGGCTGGGCTGAGGAGCTGCCTGTGAAGAAACTGGGCTATGGCAGGTAGACTCTAGACAAACGCCAAGGCTAAGCAAGGCTCAAAGCAAGGTGAAGCACAGCCCGGACCACGGTTTTTCGCGTGAAAATGGGGCGCCGTGGCCGTGTGTCAGAGCCATGTGGAGTCTCATCCAAAGGAGTCTTGATAGATCAATTGGGCAGTGCATGTTTGTCGACTCTCATTCGGCCCAAATTCAGTTGATATGGAATACAGATTGAATAAAGTATGTGACAGTCGTATGATTCGACAGAAACACGTCAGATTCGTCGAAATGTCGCTCTTGCAAGCTTAGCTCTCGGAGTTGATCTTGGGTCTTTCCAACCCAATCGACCGATTTAAAGGAATGCCTTTTGACTCCTTTGACTCTTGACATCCCTTGACCAACATCAAGCTAGGCAAGCGAGGCTAAGCTAGGTCCAGGTGGCCTCCTTTCTGCTTATCATGAAGCGGCAATACAGCCCTGAAGAAAGGCAGCTGGTGAAGAGGACCCTCTTGGTTGCAAGGTCCTCCTTGACACAGGATCGTCCATCCTGAGCTTGTGCAGGACATCAGGATGGGGTGCTGTCGTGCGGGGCATACAGAGTGGCGGGACACCAAGCCCATGGACACATGTTGAAACCAATGGTAACCGATGCAGGTGCAAAAAAAAGGTCTTGAGACACAATGGTGACAGAATGAACAATATGGTATCAGGCGCGAGTTCTACTTCTACAAACCCTGTGAATTGACAAGTATTGAAAGGCTGTTCAAGACAACTTGCCTAGCCTAGACAGCCTTAGGCCGTGTGATCAACACAATGTGGGCAGATGAGGGCACCGTCCTGTGTACTGTGCCAATCCCAGTGCTCAGAGAGAGTTTTGCACAATGTATTCAACAGTCACACATAGTCATTGCCGGTCAACCTTGCCGGTAGTCTTTGATTTCAGCGAAATTATCGAGGTGCAAATGGCCATGGTGAGGCTTTTTATGATTTGGCCACTCAAGGCACAAGCGCCAGCTTTGCCTGCGATTACGTTGGCTGGGGCAACAGCGTGGAAAGAGTTTACAAACCACACGCAAGGCGATCACTCCAGTGGCTTACCTCTACTGGGCAATGCTGGCTCGTAGACAATGCTTGTAGGGTCGACATGGGTCGACTTGGCCAGGCGTGGCGCTTGATCCGAAGCCTGTCCGGGAAAGTGCCAGCGAGAGCCGGGAGCCAATCTGGCTGAATGTTCACTAATAAGGTTCGCTACTAGGGGCTCCAGGCATCGCTACTAGGAGCAAAGATGCTACTAGGGGCTCCTGGCCTTACTACTAGTAGCAAGAAGCTAAAGAATGTGCGTTTTACCATGGCTCAGCAAGGTCCAACCGAAAGGTGCAGTTCAAGTCTTGAGGGCTGCAGCTCTGTGGGGGCTGCAGGCAAGGCACTGAGCTGCTAAGGTTGTTTCTTCTAGGTTGGAGGCCATTGCTAATAGCGATGGCCTCCAACCTAGAAGCAATGGCCTCCAGCCTAAGAGCGAGCTTAGTCAGCCGCATGATTTGCAGGAACTCCTCTCCTTGGTGCTAGGGCTGGAAGTGTTGTTCTTTTGCTACTACCGCTACAAGAGGGCAACTTTGCAGGCCTGAACCGTTCTTTTTGGCGTCCCTAGGACCTCAGTCCGCAATTCGTTTTGGTAGGAGCCTGCTGTACCACCACGAATGCCGCTGGGTAAGTCCTTAGTCGATCCCTTACAAGCTCGCATGTTAGACATATTGACAGTGTCCTTGAGATTTTCTGAGCACTGACTGACTTTGGCACCATTTCTGGGAGTCCGTTCTTGGCTGTATAGTCAAGTGTAGTCAGACAATCACCATCTTTCATGCACAGCATTACGTGTACTGGTGCTTCGGGCTAACGCCCCAATCCTACAAGTCAACACATATTTGGAATTCAGAAACCGTCTTTCACTCGCTGCCGTGGATCTTCATGAGCCACTCCGAAGCCAGTCGTCAGATCCAGCTCACCAAGGAGTATTCCGTCGGTACGGTAGGTTTGTTTGCATTTTTGTTGATTTTCTAGAAGCTGTTTGTGATTCTCTTTTCTGTGTATGTGAATGCATGTAGACCTTTGATGCAATTCGTTTCTTTTCGTCCCTCTTTGACTTTCTCTAATATCTAGTCTAAATCTAAGTTTCAACGTGAAAGGTCCTTCGAAGACTCTCCCGCCTCGAAAAAACAGTTTCCTTGGACCTATGGCCATGCATGGCCTACTACCCTTGGCCTCACAAAGCATTGTTGGTCTACACTGCGGCCACTACTGTCTGTGGAGTCTATGCAGTCTATGGCTAGTAGCACTGGGTTGCAGAGCATCACAGGACATCCAGCAGGCACGTACATGGGATGCTGCTGTTCGCCTGATCCAAGCGGCTACTGTCTCTCTCAATATCATTGTTTTGACTGCGCTTGTCAATTCCTCTGTTCAACGGGGCAGCTTGGCAGCTGTAAGTGTTTCATTGTGCCGTATTTTCTTGGCCACATGGAGAGCCGCCGCATCTTAAGCTCAGGTGCTTGGGAATGGGCAACGCATCTGGTGAAGAATTTGGGGACGAACCGTCTCCAGGTAAGCTTGAGTGAGTTTTGCATCAGTGTTTCAAAGGTTATCCAATGCCACAGAACACTCGGAGTTATATAGCTCTCAGTATTAATAACATTTCTGCGTTAAGCCAAGCGGAAGCATCGTTCTTGACGGGGCCACGTAGGTGGACAACTTGCTGCACAACGCAGTGACTCGAGCCTGCTGTGGTTCATCTCAGTGGTCGCAGGACGCCGCAACCACTGCCGCAACCATATACTAAAAATGCAAAAATGTTGAGCACAAAATCGTTTCTTTCTTGGTGCGCATTTTAATAACAAGAAGCATACTAGTTACTAGTTACTAGTAGCTGGCAGCTAGAAGCTACTAGGTGGTGGAGGCCATCGCTAGTAGGTTGGGGGCCAATTACTACTAGTAGCAGGAAGCTATTAGGGTTTAGGGTATATTTTTGTCTTTTAATTCTTCCAGACACAGGATATCAGATTTTGTGGCTAAGCCTTTGAGCTGGACTTGAGTGTCCTTGTGAATCGCAGAAAAATCATGTCTTCAGGTTTCTCGGGTGTCATTTGCTTGAAGATATGAATCCAGTACTAGTACAGTGTGAAGCCGCATATTGGGCTATGGGTCAAAACGCGGAGCCCTAAACCCTAGCTGGTAGGTTGACCTCCTGAGTCGTTTGTTCCGTTCTTTGGACCGAGGTCCGTTCCAGTGTGTTGACCCACAGTCAGAAAATACATCCGATATTGTTTGTGGCCCAATTCCGTTCATAGTTTATCATAATATCATAGCTTAATATGTTTAATTTCCTTTGCTGAAACATTAGCAAGTGCAGCTACTTGTGCATACCCGTCCTGGAACACCGTCCGTGATCATGTTGGAGCATGCCCTGCTGAGCAGTTGAGCCTTGCCCTTTGTTGCCGTTTGCTCGACACATCAAGTTCATGTCTTTACCTTCTGTGACAGCCATCACCGTTCTTCTCAAACCTTTCCCACCTCTCCATTCAGTGGATGCCACCTTAAGCTTCGAGTTGCCACTCTTCCACGCCCAGTGAACAAGCAGGACCTGCCCCTATTCCTAGCCACAGCAGTGAGCATAGTCACATAGTGAGCCTGGCATAGCGCCGTGCATCTCACGCCCCAACACGCAACCTTTCCCATCCACAACCGAACTTTGAATTTTTGCTTTCCTTCGATGCATAAGAAACCGACGGTCACCGTCATAAGCTTCTATGTTGTTCCCCTTGGCCTTTCCTCCAAATTGTTCATAGTTGATTTTGTCACACCATGCTTGACTTTTGCCTTTTCATGTCAATTTGATTGCTGAAGATAACCCAGGTCAACACAGCCCCCAGGTCGCTTTTGCTAGCTTTTGCTTGCACAACAATCAGCCCTTTGGCCACTTGACACCACTCCATGTTGAGGCCTTTCTACAACTTGCTGATCTACGTATGCAGATGCTGCAGGTTGACCCTCATTCTGCCAGCGCAGCAGCCAAAGCAGACAACACAGGCCGGCAAACTGTTGGGGCCACGCCCCAGTTTGGTGAAGCTGGATGTAACTTAGCCGCTTTGTGTTTTTCTTGTGCCACTTCACGGCGGCACTTCGCATGCAAGAACATTTGGATGGGCCAGGGTGGCAAAGCGCGACGCATTTGCTTGCATCTTTAGTGGGAGCTGATCTTGAAGCTACAGTCGTCAATCACAATATTTTGCTCAGCTCCTTCGTGCTTAAGCTGCAACATGTGCAACACTTGTGATATAGGTGTTGTAGGAGCTAAGGTTCAAAGTTCCCATTGGTTGCTTCCAACATGTTCTGATCTCTTGGCCTCAGGAAAAGGCATCACAGTGGCATAAGCCTTTGGTCATCCTTCACGACATGGACGCAATTGCTGTTCAGAAGACAGTGGCCTGGCTGAGGTTTGAACCTTCCCATCACTTCTTTTTGTTCGGTGAATGGGACGTTTTGATCCCATCAGACCTCTGTGATCTGGCGATCGTTTCCAGAACAATTGCACAGCCAATTGATTTCCTTAATTCTTTTGAGCATAGCAGACTGGGGTAAACAAAACACAATGTACTGTATAAGAAAACACAAGTAGAACAGAGTGGCTGAGGAAAGATGGGAAGCCTGAGTGCAAAACAGTATAAACACCTTGGACATTGTGACAATGTTTGCAGGCCTTTTGAGGGCTTCTTCAAAAAAAGTATTGACATTCTTCTAGGGCACTCTTGTGGGAAACGTTTGTCAGGGACTTTGCTTCACACTATTGTCTGAGACTCACTCTTTTGGGGTTCTCGCTTGAACCCTTCAATAGGGCATTCTCGTCCGACATTCTTGTACATGTTCATTCATAGGGCATGCTTGTGGTGCACCCGTGTGCGACACTTTTTGTGGGATGCTCTTGTACTGTACACTCTTGTGCAACGCTCTTGTAGGGCACGCCGGTGCGACACTCTTGCTTGACACGCTTTTCCGCGACAATCGTGGGACAACCTTGCTTGACAGTGACAGTCTTACCTGACACTCTTGTGACTCTTGTGTGGCTCCAACTTGTATGGCACTTTTACGTCTCTCTGTGACAGTCTGGGGCACCAGACCTTCTCCAAGAGTAAGATGGGAAGTTTGTGAATAGATTTATTCCCAGCACCAACGAGTACAATGCGCTGCGCCTGCACACCCACATCACTCAGAATCGCGAGTCACAGCCCGGGGCAACACGAGTTTGCCCGTAAGGTGCAACGATGCCAGACGCCGTACCTGCGCAACAAAATCAGCCGTCACACGAATGTGAGGTAACATCATCCTTCCATCCCCAAATGGGACGGCCATGCGAAAGCAGTGGAAACATTTGTTTGCAAACGGTTGCCGCATGCTTTACACAAAGAGCCCTTGCGGCACTGGGCGTCAGAAATATCACGTTTCGGCATCTCGCTGTGGGGAGTGCAACAACTAGCAAATCAGCTGCAGGTGATTTCCCTTGCGTCAGCAATCAGTGCATCTGGGGCTGCTGGGCATTGGGAGCAGGCCCTGCTATTGTCAAAGTGGTTGGCACGCGGAGGCTTGCAGCCGAATTTGCTTCTGGGCATTGCAATAGTTGTTCAATGCGCGCATGCGGATTGACGATGCACATTCTATGAAGTGCATGAAATACATTGAAATACCAGGAAAACTGCACCTGCAGAGCGTCACTGCAACAATTGTTATGGCTCTTGGATTTGAGGAGGGACGCTATCTGATGAGTTTCTTTGGGCCGTGAATGCCATGGAAAAAGGACAAGCAATGACTGCTAACATGGAGCGGTATACATAAACAGAACATCCACTGAAGTGGGAGGAAGGCACATGCGCTGCGGGTGGAGGCCAGCAGCAATGGCTTCCAACCTAAGAGCGATTGCCTCCAACCTAAGAGCGATTGCCTCCAACCTAAGAGCGATGGCCTCCAACCTCAGAGCAATGGC